AGTCTGCGTAGAAGTTTATTTAATAGCAGGTGGTTAGGGTAAAGAATTTTTATACTTTTAGGATCCTGTACCGTAGTACTGGTTATTTCACTCATGTCGTGTTTTTTTCTTTTTTTTCTGAAACAGATCGTGAGTTGGTTATATAAGTATGTTAGTAGCCATTAAGTTAGTTCTGCGATTTGGGTTTGCAGTGCAAGGGTATTGTCGTGTCGCTTTTGGGGATTAGGTTTCGGTGTCGATGATGCTTTTGATTTTGTTTCATTTTGGTCCAATGAAGCGTCATTTAATCTATGACCAACAGGTTTTCTTGGTTCATCCGTCCGTTTAGAATCCTTCCTACTCTTAGTCATTTTTAGACTTTGGAAAATCGATGTGGTTCTTGCAATAGGGTCTCGATTAGGTCTACGAACGTCGGGTGATTTGTGAGTTGTAGTCCTATGTGAGATCCATGTGCAGTTAGTGCACCATTTATACGCAAGTGCAATTAGTAACATTATCATAATGATATTGATGCTTAGTCCGCCGTAGATCAGTCCGGATTGATAGGTAGTAATTTTATTATGTTGACTTATAGTTTCTGCCTTCTCCATAATGTCATTTAAAGCCTTTTCCTGGCTAGTCCACATTCCAAATTACGGGACCCATTTTTCTAATTTTATATCTGAATCGAATAAGAGATGTACGGTAGGATATAGATTCGTTAAGTTGAGGTTCAAATTTGGTTTATATAGATAAATGTTTGTGTCATTTTTTTTGCTTCTGTTAACAGAGTCGCATCGCTCGTGTATCCAATACAGCCTGGGGCGATTTTGAGTATCCCTAGCCCTTGTATGTAAATCATCTGGTCCATTCGGTCCGGACAAGCGATTCGTATAGTGTCCAGTTGATGAGCAGAGAAAATCCACGACCCGTCCATCGAAATATAATTCCAGTGCGTCGTTTCCTGACTTTTCAGTACTATATCACAATGATACAACTCATGCTTGGATGGTTGTAATTAGCATTCTTAATTCACAATTCTTATTCAGATTACCATCTAGAAGGGGTCCTTTTACTGAGCATACAAAGGTGTAGTGAGTTCAAATGCAATCTGATAGAGATTGATGGTCCATTTGCATATACAGTTTTTGATCCGAGCTCAAGGCTAAGTAAGGGTAATTATATTTTATATATGCCGACCTTCTTTTAGAGATCGATAATTGTGGTACTAATATAGAATGCAATCTATATAAATTGTAGTAATTTCTGTCCACAAGGGGTAAGTGCACCACTATATATGTCCTTCCTTCGCGATGCGATGCATCAATTTTTGAAATTCTAACAACTTCTTCCGCTCTGAGATGCTCCGTTGGAATGGGAAAATCAAGGACCATTACAGTATGTTTGATATCATTAACTATTTGATGCAGCACATCAGTGTCTATTAAATCTGGGTGCACTTTTCCTTCTTTTAATGCGCGGAGAATTTCTCGAAATCTTTCTGAACCTTTAATGAAATAATCTAATCTAGATTCCAACATTCTTCCAAAAGATTGTACAGAAATCATATATTCTAAGCGTGCGTTTTCATTTTCTAATTTTTTGGATTTCTGCTACATCTGGGTTCCAAGCTGAAAGATTTTGTAACCATGTATGTCTATCATTTTGAATAATTTGTTTATTCCCGTGGTAATAATGTGTGTCCTTTTATTAAAGAGGTTGATTAACGATTTCTGGTCTTGGTATAATTGATCGATGTTTGCGTCTATTTTATTCGTTTCGTCCACAGTTACCAATCCAAATAAACTGTGGCTTAAGCTTCGTATCCCTCCAAATGATATTAGTCTTTTGTTTCTGATGCTTCCGGGCCCTCAAACCCTGGGTGGTTGGATGTTTCCCATGTTTCCGATTGATTTAGTAATTTCCGTTTGTAGTTGTTGAAGCGTGAGCTCTTTCACATCCAAAATATTGTAACGAGGGCAGCGCCTTATTCGGCACTGACGTCACTAATTTATTAAGGGGAGAGTAAGAGAGGCACTTTAACAATCGGGGAACGAGAGGATAGGTCGAACGAATAAATAATTTTCCTTAATTAGAACACACAACTTAAATCTATTCAGACAAACAAATACAAGATCGGTCATAATAAAAGTTTACATCACGCGCACATGAACAGAACGACTTGAACTAACGCGGGAGGATGAATTGCCCGGCGACTAAATCGCCTTGACCATTTGCCTCCTTACAAGTAAAAGAATACATCGAAACCTCACTACCGCATTACGATGAGCGTAGCCGGCAAGTGATTGCCTGGCTGCCTATCGTTCCTACGCGGCCGCGCATCACCATGAGAGAGAGAAATACTGGGAGAGAGAGATAACTTGACCTTTGTCCTTGGCGATGAGCCGGCAACGGGGAGTTGACCTGGCCGCTGGCTGGACGTCTTCTTCGGCGTAGCCCGTGGTGAACCCACTGGAAGTCGTGCCGTGCACGGTGGCGAGGGCGGCACTGAATGCCCTGCTGCAGGTGTTGTCGCCACACGTAGCCTTGTCTCGCCCTGGTCTGGTCACTGCTGCACGTGTACTTCTTTCTCTCTTTGCGCTGCTTCTTTCTCTCCGCTACTTCTAACTTCTCCCTGATACTTTCTTCCGACCGCTGTCTAAGTCTGACATCTCTCTTTAACTATTTTCCGGAAACTGTTGCACGCGCCTTGACGCATGTTCAGCGTCCGCACTCTCGCCGGGCTCTCCCCACCAAGCCTACTCATTAGGCGGCGTGCGACAAAAGCGCTAATTGGTCGCGCGTTACACGCCGGCCCAAACCTGCATAGTGCGTGCATAGGCGCGCACTCTAGCATGCTCGCTAACTCTCTCTCTCTCTCTCTCTCTGTCTGTCTCTGTCTCTCTCTATCTCATAGTCGCTGCGCTCTTGCTTCTTCGGGCGCTCTCAATCTTGCTCAGCAATCTTCGGCGGCTGGAAAAACATAAAGGCCAGTGGTTAGGCGCAATAAATATATGCGCCCAACGCTGACCACGTCGCCATGCCGAGCGATAAGAGGGAGAGAGAGAAGGAGGGCAGACGAGGAGCAAGCGTACTGCTTGCTCTCGTCACACCCCCTCCCAAGGCCAAAGCTCACTGCGGCCTGACTCTCTTCCCCCTTTCTCCTCTCTCGACCGGCAACTTGCAGCCAGCGCTAAACGCTAAACAAAATAATAACCTTAATTAATTTCTTAATCATAACTTATTCTATAACTTAAATTTATTCTGATAACACCCAGATAGAACCAAGGGCAAACTCTTCATCCCCAAAATCTAAACTTAAAACTCTTACAACAAAATAAACAAACTTCTCTCACCGAAGAATCGACCAACCCCGCACGCCATCATAGCAATTCCAACTCTAAAATAATAAATAAATCAACAATCCAAAGAAACACTTTACCATTACTGCTGTCGCTCCAATGACTCTCAATACCGGAGTCGGAGCATCCTGAGTTCTTCAGCCGATGGTGAAGAGGCATTGGCCCAGAGAGCCGATGGCCAGCGACCTCCGTCGCCTCAAGTCCAATAACCCCGACCGTCTCATCAACCACGACGGTCTCAACAACAGGCACGCCCGCTGAAATTGGTATGTTTACCTCTCGCGGCGTATCTTCCAAACGCGACGCGTCGCTTGAACAAACCGCGGCGTAGGCTTCCCCAATGGCACGGGCTCGACGCGCGAGCTTTTCGCGAACGCGCCTACCGCAACGGTGCCTAGGCTTCTTTGCCTTCGGCTCCCCGACAGAGGATTCAGGGCTTGCCACCATGGGCACTGCCCTAGGAACTCCAGGCTCCGGCTGTACCACCTCTGGTGTAGCCTGGAACCTGACCGGCTCCCTAGGACGGTCCTGAATCCTTGCTCCTTCTATCAACCGCCCGCGCGCCTGCTCCGCTTCATAAGCATCGCGGCAGCGCGGACAGTTAAAGACCGAAACATCTAGTCGTCCACAATTCCGACAAACTGGACGGGTGAGGGACGGCTCCTCGCAAACTGACCGTTGGTGCGCCCCCGTTTTGTAGTTAAAACAGCGGAACAAGGGCAAATCAACCTCCGGATCCCAAGGAACCGGTGCCAGTCCTCTCAGGAACATTCTCCTCGTCAATCGTTGACCCGATCCGTCCGCCCAAGTTCACTGTTCAGAAACCGAGGCTGAACTCACCGCCTGAGGAGGCAGAACAGGCGATGACCGAGGAGGGATCGGCAGCTCGGGCGTGACCGGCCTCGCTCCCTGATCGGAAAGCCTAGCCCTTGCCGCCACCCTCCAGTCTTCCACCACCGCCTTCTCGGCAGGAGCGCTTGTCCCAACTCCCGAGGCCCCAAACGTAGCATGCCCCGCCGATGCCGTCGATGAAGGGCTGCTCGCTGCTTCCACAGCGGCCACCCTTGCAACTTTAGGCAACGACGCGACCTGCACGGAGGATGGCCTCTCGAAGTTACACGCGGAGAGATTGAAACGCAACCTCCTCTCTTCGCTCGTCTTCGACATAATCCGCCGGCGGGTAACGCGCTGGCCCACCCCTACGGACGAACTGATAAGCCGGGTCCGACCTCTGCTGCTCGAGCGGCTTAAACGGGAGAGGAGCATGAATGTGCGGCTGGGGAGCCACGCGGGGCGGCTCCGCAGCCTGCATCGACTCCTCTTCCGAATCGCTAGAGCTGATCGCCATCTGCAGAATGCCGTTAGTAGCTGACTGCAGAGGGCAAGAGGGTCCTCCCCGCTCTATCGTTGGCCGAAACTTACGTCATCGGTTCGCAGTCCTACTAATGGAACATCTTGCCACGGCATGGAACATCTTGACGGCAAAGCGTGGGCTCGGCGAGGTATCGCCAGAGCTGCTGGCCTCCGCCACTGGGAAGACAATCCCTCGAGCTGCCTCTAAAACTCGCGACCGGTCCGCCGCCTCACGAATACATAACGTCGTGAGACGAAAAGCTGCACTTCGGCGGACAGCCTCATCCCAAGTGCGTGTAGGTGCCGCTAAACGAATGGTATCGGCGGGGCAGGTAAGGGTGGCGGTAAAGGTTGGCCCTTTGCCTGGCCACCCTCATCATCAGCCACCGATTTCCTGATAACCTGCGCGGTACCGGAGTCAGTCGCGACGCCTGAAAGAAGTTCGGCCAAAGCAATCTCGGTCACGCGGCCCGACTCTCTGGCCTGCTCAGCCATCATCACCTGGCGTCGTACAACCTCTGGAACCTTAAAGAAAAACCACAACACACATACGTTATTACACCTATATTAGTTGAAAGATTACGCGTTTACTTTCCGTGGCGGTATGTAACGCTTAATCTCCGAATCATGTACTCTAGTGGTGCAATGTTTGCTATTCGTGGCCAATTCATAAATCTCGGGCGAGATTACCAGAACGATTTTAAACGGACCGTCATATTTCGGATCAAATTTCGCGTTTTTGCCCGCCGCTGCATTCGAAAGCGTATGCACTTTTCGCCAAACCAAATCGCCTACTTGGAAAAGAGCTCGTCACCTACCTTTATCGTAGTATTTCTTTTGCTTTTCCTGTGCTTCGTCAATATGCTTGGCTACTAAATCGCGCAACGCATTCAAACGTAATAGCCTATCTTCCCATGCCTTTGTATCCAACTTAACTATCGGCCCTTTAACTTCAGTTTCACGCCTTAAACTCTTTACCGGATGCGGATTCCTACCATAATTTAAAAATGCCGGCGATACTTTTGTAGACGCCTGGGTCGCAGTATTTATAGCATGACGGAATTCATGCAAATGCTTATCCCAGCTTCTATGGTCGGCATCTATAAACATCGCAATCATTGTCTTCAACGTCCTGTGAACGCGTTCAACCGGATCACTCTGCTGGTGATAAGCGGGGCAAGGCAAGTGCTCAATGCCGTATTTCCGCAGTCTTTCCTGAAATACCTTGCCTTTATACGCCTTCGCGTTATCACTAACAATATATTCTGGCGTCTCCCATCGAAACAGAATTAACTCTTCTAGCGCAGCAGCGAGAGCAGGACGGTCTGCCGACCGTACTACCATATATTTATATTGGTTCTTGCTACGGAGCAGCTCTACCACATCAGTCGCTACTACTGCCCACGGCCTTTCCACAACGCGTTTTCCCATGAAGCCTAAAGGCGCTTGCTGCACTACCTTATACCGTTGACATTGAGCGCACTTATCTACAAGCGTCTTCACGTCATACCAAATTCCCGGCCAGTAATACTCACGAGCTACTCGATCGTAAGTTTTCTCCCGGCCTAGGTGTCCGGAAAATGCTTCACAATGCGCGTCCCTCAATACCCTTTCTCTAAACTCGAGCGGCACTACCATGCGCCAACATTCCTCGCGATTAGTCACTGGGTCAAGCAAGTGATCGCGCATGAAACGATACAGGACGTTATTTTCTACTCTCCAATTTTCGAATTTTTTTGGTCTCTGGAGAACGTCGTTAACACGTTGCAAATACCAAACATCCTGTACTCCATTAAATGCACAAATCACTAGCCCGTCCTCAAACTCTCGCGAAAGTGCGTCCGGCACATGATGCAGCGCTCCCTTTCGATGCACGATTTCACAATCTAACTGCTGAAATTCGAGTACCCACCACTCTAAGCGCCCTGTCAATTCTCGTTTGTTCAATATCCTCGTGAGCGCGCTATGATCCGTGATGATGACAAAATGCGAACCTTCAATATAAGGTCTAAACTTTTTTACCGCAAAAAGTACTGCCAAAAATTCGATTTCGCTTACCGAGTAATTTCGCTCATGCACGTTTAGCATCCGACTGGCGTAACAGATTGGATGTTCGCCATCGTCGAATACCTGAACCAAACACGCGCCTAACGCGAAGGAAGAGCCGTCGCAGTGCAGATAGAAAGGGCGCGCAAGTACTGGAGCCTCTGTTAATGCGCGCTTCAACCTTTCAAATGCAATCTGCTGTTCGTCTTTCTATTCCCACGGTTGATCCTGACGAATGAGTTTAGTGAACGGGGCTTTTACCTCACTCTCGTGTTCGATAAAACGCGCGTACCATCCTACCATGCCTAGGAGACGGCGCAATTGAGCTACATTACTAGGTGCAGGATAATTTATTATCGGCTTTACCTTATCACCATCCGGACGCAAGCCCTTACCATCTAACCTGTACCCTAAGTAGGTTACCTCAGTGCAAAAGAAATCAGACTTTTCTAAATTGATTTCTAGTCCTACACTTACCAATCGCTTCAAAACCTTTTCTAACCATAACATATGGCTCTCAAAATCTGCACTAACCACCAACAAATCATCAAGATACCAGAAAACATGCGCCTCATACTCTGGACCGAAAAGTGCATCCATAAGGCGCGTAAAAGTAGCCGGCGCGTTAACCAATCCAAACGGCAGTCGCTCGAATTCCCATAATCTTGAACCTGGAACCGCAAACGCTGTATATTGTTTGCTATTTTCAGATAACGGAATTTGCCAAAACGCCGCTCGCAAATCTATTTTCGACAGGTAAACCGCTCCGCGTAACCTATCTAAAATAGCGTCAATGCTAGGCATCGGATACGCGTCTACTTTCGTCACCTTATTTACTGGTCTAAAATCGAGGCAAAACCTATAATCACCGTCTTGTTTACGCACGATCACTGGCGCGTTACACTATTGACTATTCGACGGCCTAATTATTCTCGCTTTCCATAGCCACATGGTTACTTCCTGCGTAAATGCTAATATTGGAGGCGACATTCGGCGCATCGGCGTCTTTATCGGGCGCGCATCGCCTACGTCGATAATGTGCTCGATAACCTTGGTGACCGCTGGTGATTCACCAGGTTCCGGGACAATCCGGCGAACAAGCGCCATGATTGTCTCTTTCTGAGCCTTCTCGTATTTACTCAAACCCGCGTATTCGGCGTAAACGTCTACTTCTCTACTATCCTGCTCTGCTAACTGAAACCAATCGCCTTGGTCACCTGCCCGCCAAGCGCGATTACCGTAGTTGATATTAATATCCCATTTATTCCAAAAATCTGCACCTAAAATCAAGTCGTGCCTAAGTGTAGATACTACCGTCGCAATCAACCAATCAGTCTTGCCACCAATTTCCATACTTAGCTTTAAGTCCCCCCACGTTCGCGGTTTCTCACCTGAAATACCCTGTACGAATATCGTAGGCGGCCTTAACCGATCCTTAAACCGTAAGCCAAGATTCGGCCCTACCACTGATACCTGTGCACCTGAATCTAGCAGCGCTGTATAGACTTGCCCGCCTATGTCGACCTTAATAAAGAACCTATTCTCTACTACCGCGACTGTTGCTGCATCCGATTCATTTACTGTTTGGCTAGAAAGCCCTGAGTTACACTCAGACCCTCCCCTCGCCGAAACGGACGGTGCGTCGGTACCAACGACCGTACGTCCATTAAACAAAACCAAATCATCAGCAAGCTCACCTGGACCGCGTATAGCCGCGACCTTTGTCGAAGCTCGCTCCGACGGGAGCGCAGCGCTTGAGCTCGCTTTCTCGAAAAACAATTCTAACCCTGGTTCCTCATTATTTCTTAAGGCAACGGCCTTTTCCGAAGCCTGCCCAACCGTGGGCGAAATACTTGAACCTGTCTCTCTCGCGTTCATGCGCAGCAACGGCAACTCAACTTTACCTCGCTAGGCACTTCTCGAGCGAACTACCCGCCAAAGAATTTCTACCATGATCGATCGCATCTCGCGCATTTGTGTCTGGTAAAACTTTCTGTATTTTAGCATTTTGACTATTGCAGAAACCTTCTGCGCCTTCCTGTACCGAGTCGCGAGAATTTACCTACAGGCTAGATACGCTACAGGCCTTTCATGGCCATCCACTTCCTGCGATAGGACCGCTCCTATCGCATAATCCTAAGCATCTGTGGTTAAGGTAAAAGTCTTCCCGAAATCAGGAAAGGCTAGGATCGGAGCCTTACAAAGCATCTGCTTCAGCTTTTCGAAAGCCTCTTTCTGCTCTGGTCCCCAGTTATAGGCTTGGTCCTTTTTCGTTAAATCACTGAGGGGCTTGGCTATCTTCGAGTAGTCTTGGATGAACCGTCGGTAATATTCGGAGAGTCCAAGAAAAGACCTAATGCTTTTTACTCCATTGGGCTTTGGAAATTTCTTTACGGCCTCGACTAATTTAGGGTCTGGCTCAACTCCTCGAGCACTAACAATGTATCCCAGGAACTTTACTTCCCGGCATAGGAAATTTACCTTATTCGGTTGTAAAACTAGTCCTGCGTTGCTAAGTTTTCCAAATAATTTCCCTACTTTTACTTCATATTCATGTAGGTTCTTAGCGTAAACTATGACTTCATCTAAGTACACTAACATTTCTACATTCAATAGTCCTCGCAACAACGCATTAATCATTCGTTGGAAGGTCGCTGGCGCATTCATTAGTCCTTCTGGCATTCTGATGTAATGAAAATGTCCATCAAAGGTCGAAAATGCCGTCTTCTCCCTGTCCTCAACCCTTAAGGGAATTAGTTGAAATCCACTGATTAAGTCGAACGTTGAAAAATACATCGAACCTCCCAACTGATCTAGAATATCAGCGATGTTAGGTAAAGGGTAGGCATCACCAATGGTTTTTTTATTTAGTTCTCTAAAGTCAATGACCAACCTCCACCTTGGTGTACCATCACTCGCCGGGCTTTTAGGAACAATCCAGAGCGGCGAGTTATAAGGTGAATTTGATTCTTCGATTATTCCTTCCCTTAATCGTTTTTTAATTTGGTCCGATATAAATTTTCGGTATATAGGGGGATGCCTATACTGTTTGGTATTAACCGGTATTCTATTCTCTAAGTGTATTTCATGTTCTATTAAATTAGTACACGGTAAAGGTTTCCAGGAAGTAGAAACACATTCGGATATTTCTTCAATAAGCGTTTAATACTCTTGAGTTCATGCGAGTTAAGGTGTCCTGTTCTAATCAGTTGCAATAATTGCCTATATCGGTTCTCGGATTGATCCATAGTCTGTGGTCCTTGAAGCTATCTTTTCGATCCGAATTCGTGTCACTAGAGAATTCCGATTTGTAATATTCAAATGGAATAATTTTCTTCGGGTCCACTTTTATTGTTACTTCCCTCTCATGGGTATTGATGGCCATAATCTTACAGGTCTCATGATCGTTAATGACTATGCCTTCCCCAAGAAACACTTTATCATCCGCCACATTTATTCTAGGTAAATACCCTTCTGCGAGCGTACTCTTCAGCAAATTAATCTGTATAACTTGACGAGTCCTTGGTGCTAATGTATATCGTACCGTGCCAACCGGCAGTCCCTCTTCGCCATTTGTAATCTTATTATTCATGTTTTCTTTACAACCCAGTTGTTCTATTCCTCGATCTAGGTCCGCTGAAGTTTCAATATCCGATACCTCATCTTCACGAGCTCTAATGGTCATAGCTTGTATCAGATCATCTTGTAATCGGTCAATGGGAACATCATTCGGTAAAAACGATATCGGGTTCATTACGTCGCTATTTACCATTAGGCTGTTATGATAATACGAAATCACTGCATTGGTATCGATCAAGTAATCTCTGCCTAACATCCCGTCCTCTTCAATAGTAAAATTGTTCCATACTATGTGGAAATTCCCGGTTTTTCGGACGTCGATACTTCCGGAATTTCGGTCAACATCGACTTCGCATTCGGTTGAACTTTCTCTTGGTTCTGGCGGCACATTCATCCCACTCATCCTCTAATTGTTCCTCTTGGTCGTTTTCTATATGTGTGACGTAAGTTTTGTATCTAGGGTCACCTTCAGGTACTTAACCGTCCCTCTGGTCTCTGTCTGAAAACCACCAACCGACGCTGGAATAAGTGTGTTAATTCTGTTTCCCATTAGAAGGATCAGTTGCCTCTTAGCCAGGGCCAGCCTCAGCCCATATCTAGACATTTGCTAACTCCGTGGTGCGTGCTGTCATCACTGCTGCGATATCACCAGCGTAGGCGACCATCTTCACTCCCTACGGTATCTTCAGTCTCAGTAATGCGTCATATACTATATTCCAGAATTTCAGATCCAAGATAGATCCCTACGTACACATGAGGTATATGGAGAGTCGAGGCTTTCAAGGGCCTCAAGTATATCACTCCATTTGGCTAAGTGAAGGCATCTTGATGACCAGTGTTTCTATTGGTCTCGCCCTATAGCAAATGCGCTTCGTCTACGAAAAACTATCCGTGATCTGTCGTATTACCCTTATTGTCGAGCATTGCCTTCGAAAACCATGCCGGTTGTCCACGGTTCTCCGTTGATGTTACCACATCCGTTAGTTTCGGTTTTATTAGCGCTTCGTACAGTTTACCCGCTGTCTCTAGCAGACTCAAGAGTCTATAGGAAGACGAGGCATTCGGCTTTCTTTTTTCATATAAGGTCGCAGTAAATTTTCCCGCAGTGGTTTACGGATTATACTATATATGGCCCAGGGTCCTTTTTATATATATATTTTTTTTTAATATTATAGATAATAAATGAATAAAGCCGATAATACAATGATAATAATTCCTAACAAGATAATAATTTATTCAAATAATTATTTTCAACAAAATACCAATTATTATTATTATCAATTATAATTAACAATTAATAATTTATTCAAATAATAATTACCAATAAAATACTAATTATTATTATCAATCAATAACAATTTATTATATATATATATATATAATTAAAAATTTTTATTTTAATAATTAATTTGTATTATTCCATTAATCAATAAATAAATTATATTAATAAAATAAATTATTAATTAATAAATTAATTTATTAACCAATAAAATATATATTTTATTAACTAATATATATCTATCGTTTAGTAATAAAAGTAAAAGTAAAAATAATTAAGGGAAATTTTAATAACAGAATGGTACGGGACAATGCTAAGTGTGAATCCCCTATTACAACAAAATAAAAAAAAATAAATTCGTCTATTTCACAGAAGAAAATATTGCGCAAATGCGCACATCAAATTTTAAACGATCGTTCATAAATAATACCCCAAGGGAATTCTGCTAAACCGCGTTTCGACTTTCAAATATTTTTAAGCAAAAGAATCACGTTGCCAATGCTATTCCGTCAACTAAGCATGAAATTTAGGAACGGAAAAAGGACGCACCCGGTTTCAGACGCGAAGACTCTAATTACGCTTACGCGACCAAAAACCGAAACTCCAATGAATTCCTGAGCGCCCGATCGTGTGAAAAACAATTTTCCACTTCCTCGGCGTGGCTTTAGCCTGCTCAAAAACGAGCGTCCTATTCACCCGCATCGCGTTTCGTACAGCACGGGAAAGAAATTATATTTTTCTAATCGCAATTATAATTAAATATAACGTAAATATTACACAAGACTAAGGTAAAATAATATATGAGTTATGAGAGGAAAAAAAAATATTAATAATGATGATAAAGACGGCGGATTAATTAATATGTATTAATATTAATTAATACGCATCAACATATATTAACACTATGTAATACTATATATTACACACCAATCAATAATATATTGTGACGGTAAGCGCCAAATTAGCGCTAATTATTTAGCTTAATTGCTGCCTGTGAGGGCAGCACCTGCCGGGAGGACGAAATTCGTAACTAAGGAATTCGGCACGCGAGCAGACGGAACGCGCGCGATTGAATTCGCGTGAAGCATTGACCACTGTTGTGTCCGCCCGCTTTTCGCTATCGCCACCGCCGATTCACGTGCCCTTGACAACTACAACGCATCAGAACAGCAGCAGCCAGTTATCCAGGATTGTAGCCGCCAAGGTGCCATCCAGCTATCAGTTTGAGGCCAGGACGAGTGTGTGTGTGAGGTTTCGCCATCGAGGGCGAAACCATAACGTGCGCGAACTCGCGACTCGCGAAATAGACAATAGAAACTGATCCGCTCTGTGCGAGTTATTTGTGTTTTTCTCCGATCGCCTGCAAATATAAGGTAAGCTGGTCAGCTTAATTTCGCGATCGCGACTGCATGATTGATAACTAATTTCCGATATCCGAACCGTACGTGTAACGGCTCTAACAACAAAGAGCAGCGAGCGTCCCGGCAATACGTGTTGCCGACGAGTGAGCGTCAATGTAAACAAACGCGCGGGCCGACCTTCTGTAGATTATGAGGAATAATAAAAGATCTAGTTCGTATTACTAACAAGTGCTTTTCGATTCACTTATATCTCATAGCTTCCACTCACTTTCCTAAGATAAGAGGACTTACTGGTTGACTGACGCACGTTTCCACATGCTCCCCGATTTACGTACTGAGCATAATTAACTACGCGCGTCCTTTTAGTGTAAACGCGCGAAATAAAATAATTAAACGGTTTTACCCCGTTACAATATATATACTAATAATATAGTGTATTCATACTTATTACATTAATACTCGTGCCAATCAATATATATTAATCAATGTGTATTAATTTTGTGAAGTTATTCACTTAATTATTAAGATTTTATCAACGCCAGAAAAGCGAAAAGATAAAGCCTGAGAAACCACGCTCTGCTACCAATTGATAGGTGACAACTCGCGCGAGGCGAGTTTGTCCCGTACGAAGGCCTTTTTAACAGTCGAGCGGCCTTAGACTCGGGCGGCAGTCAGGCTTTCGGGCACCCCGGCCCGTTCGCGCGTCAATAATGAAATCCCTGTTAATTATAATCCGACACTCAATATCGCGATTGTAAAGTAAATAATTGAACGTTTATAAGGTTTCTCGCTTGTTTATTAAAAAGAAAAATGTAATAGCGATTTTCTTTAATATAATGGGGAAGCATATGGATACACTTATAGGCGTTTATATTTATAATATTTATTCTAGTCTCTTTCACAACATTAATAAGTTAAGCAGAATAGATATATATATATATATAAATTCTCAGACGCGTAATTTTCGCCTCGCGATGTCTATTATTTTTTGGTTACATAAAAAGTATTACTCACTTTGTATTAATATTGTAAATATAAATTGGTCCAAAATATTATTTGCTTCGTGATGTGGCCAATCACTTTTTCTTTGAATCTGATCAGATCAACTGGTCCAATATATTTTTTATCCAATAGTGTAGCAACACACAAGAAAATGATAATTCCTATGATTTTCGTTTACACAAAATTATTAAAACAATTGTACTCGACACTTCTAATACTTAATTGCAACTCGAACAATTATATTCTCAAATTCTTATTATGGATTTAACTTCAGTAGGAAAAATGCAGGCTTCTTAGTTGAGCGCTCACTCCTAACTGACTAATTCTTCTCGCTCTTGTCGTTGTTTTCGCCGGTTCATTATATATCTTTTGTCCCTCGCATTCCGTCTCTCTCTCTCGCACATATGCTTTAGACGTTTACGCTTCTCGTATCGGCTCGTCTTACCTAGCTAAGCACGCTGACCGAAGCATGCTGTCGCAGCATGATGACTCAACGTGAATCAGCCTCTGCCGCTCATTCCTACCGAGTCGCGCACACAAATACTGCTAGCTATACTATGTCCGAACGGAAATCTCGAGAGCGAAATATTATTCGACAAAATACAATTATAACACAATGAAGCGTCACGTAACACCCACACCAACGTCCAATAAAAACGAAATATCACGGAGAACGTGACCTGTTATTATCCTTTAGCATCTTAACCTCCTAAAGAATAGCGCTTGAATCTATAGTCGAGAACCCCATAGGTCCAGACTAGAAGGGGGCTGTGACGGTAAACGTCTAATTAGCGCTAACGGCCCAACCATGCGGCTGCCCGCGAGAGCAGCACCTACCGGTTGGGGAAAATGTGACGAGGGAATTCGGCACGCGACGGGACGGAACGCGCACGTATGAAAATGAGCCAGTCGAGGATCAGCTATCGATATCGCCTGAGAAGAGTCGAGGATTAGAATTCGATCGCCGAGCCGTGCAGCGAATATCTTGAATATTTTCCCGAGTTTTCTGAGTGCCGAGACGAGCTAATCCAAGCCTGCAGGAGCCGTGCCTGATACTGAACACTACGAGTGTGCGTGTAAGCGTGCGTGAGTGAAGAGTTTCGCCATCGAGGGTGAAACCGTGAACGAGAGGCAGTATCACTTGCATATAAACGTTTGCCGAAAGACTATTGTGTGCTGCAAGAGCCTCCTTCTTCGTATCACTTGCTTCCCTTGCGAGAGTTAATGAGGTAAGCTGGCCAGCTTAATTTCGCGATTGCGACGGAATTGCTAAATAACTAATCTCTCGTACTCGCTAGAAAACGTGCATATATTATCTCGGCAAACAATGAGCGGCGAGTCATCCGACTCCGTTTGTTATTGTCGCGCGAGCGTTTTGTAAACATAAACACGCGGGCCGAATACAGTGTATAGTTTAAAGGAAATAAACGATCTCGCATGTGATATTGATTAGAATTTCATCGTATTTATTTCAATAGTAGATAGTTGGTTGACTGATACCCGTTCCCTCCTGCTCTCCGGTTTTCATGTTTGACCGTATAAGTAATCACGCGCGCTCTTCAATACGATCGTGCGCATTAAATTGAATAAACGGTATTAACCCCGTTACATAGTATACTATACATTTTACTTCGAAGTCCAATGAATTCTCTCATAATATTACCATTACATTCACCTTTCATAATACCGAAAACTTTTTTATTAACTAACGGCATATTAAACTGATTATTTTCTGAGCAATCTGATGTATTAAATTTATTGATATCTTCTTTCATTATTATCAACATCTTGAAATTCATATACGAGGCTATGTGTATCAGTATAAAGTAATTTTGCTTTATGAGGTAGTCTTTCTTTTATGTAGCCATAATGGAAGTCATATACTAATGTTTTTGAGAGATCTAGCACACAAAGTCCAATATATATATTGGTTTTTCAATGTTAATAGACGACCATAATAACTGTATTGCTACTAAATTTTCATCAAAGATTGAACTACTATGAAAGTTGGGTTGGGCGATCCGTGCTTCTGCTCCATATCTGCCACTGCATGCACTGATTAATTTAACGTCTTTTCGTTTCCTTTCATCCTCCATAGTCTTTCCGTATACTGCATTAATCATGAGTTTATAGAATAACTTTTTAAATTCATTTTTAGCTTGTTTTCTTTTTTCTGTATTCAAATCTACATAAGTTTTAAGCCACGGCTTTCGATTAAACTGAAGTGCTCTGTGTATTTGTTTTATTTTGAGTCCGTATTTAATAGCCTGCTTTAGCGCTCTATAATGAATGACATACTGTTCTTTATTATACAGTGTTGTTAAAAGTTTTTTTTGTCTTGATCCAGGTGGTGTGTTATGTTCAGGCCAAAGTGGAAGGTCCTTATGTTCGTGGTGTAGTTCTTTTGGATACTCTAGATCAACTTCTAAAATATATCCAACCTCATTATTATCGGAAAGATTGAAAAAATGAGGCTCATCGATGTTAGAGACCCACTTAAAATTTTTATATGGTAATGATTGCATCATCGCCCATCCATATAAATTGTTAACATCAAAGTACATCAAAGTCTTGCTAGGTTCTTTATCATTATATTCTGAGCCCATATATCGATTATAGCTTTTGAGTATCTATTACAGCATTGACTAATACCTCCTCAATTTTTGTACACTTTAACATAGCATCCCATGTTAATCCAGGAGTAGTATAATAGTGTGCTGGGTCGAGTTGATACGCATCCATACAAGTTTTACGAAAATTTTCAAAAATATCGGCCAAGAGTAATACGTCAGTCTTTAAATATAAATCAGAATACTGTCCTAAATCAATGATGTCAAATGCATTCCACACTTTTTGAGCATGCTCATAGTCAGCTTCAGAGATGTTGCTATCTATCAATTAACTATGAAAATCTTCGATAGGTGGTAATTGAGTCTGTTATAATTTTTCAAAACTGTTAACATACTCATATGGAAAAACGCCTTTTCTCTTCAATAATTCTATTTATGTTTTTGTATATTTATCTATCTTGAATTCATGCTCTACGATATTTAGTTTGGTTAAGTATGAAGCCAATTTTTCGAGAGATGATGGCATAAAACGAAACGAATCAATAAATCGAAAATTTATAGTACTACCGTCCACGTGTTTTGTGAAAGCTATATATCTTTCCTTGTTTTGAGCTAAAACAGTCACATTTCCCTCAAAATCAGAGCTAGTAGCTATTTCTTTTGTTATAAAATGAGAATCATATCGAGTAAGGTTATGGAAGACGACTGGTATAAAATAAGGATTCTTATAATTTAAATTACAGAATGCGTGAGAAGCACATCTAAATCGGCCCGTCAAATGACAATGATCTCTAACTATTGTTTCATCACATTGAAAATATTTTCTACAAATATGACACACTTTTCTCATCTTGAAATCCATTTGATTACGCCATGAAAGATTCATTTCTATTGCATTCTTATATATTTGATCCATTTCATCTAACAAAATCTGAAATTATTTGATAATCCATTGTGCGGGTGATTGTTCTTCATTCAGTTTTTTTCTATACATCTTAAAGATTGATATGAAATCATCATAACTACATTTTATATAAAGTCCAACACTAAAGGCTTCGTGATCTTGGAAGGATCGTCCATTATTTACTGGTTTCAATAAGAACTCTAAATTAGCATAGATAATTAAATTTCAGAAGAGGAAAATTAGGTAGATTAACTCTATATTTATTTAATTTTAAACAATCTGTCTCATGAATATTCAATTTTTCTTTATTATTAAAATAGTGGAGACAGCGTTCACAGAGATAAATTTGTGCAGTATATTTCGTTACTTGACTTCTAACAAGAGCAGATAAGTTTTTAATCCATACATAGTGGAATTTTTATTTGAAATTATCTTTGTTATTTGATCTAATAGATTTTTCTGTTTCATTCTCATCAATATAATCGCTTTGTAGTAACAAAAGATTTACATGCTTATCTTGTTTTAAAGTTGATATATAATATGGTGAGACTTCGAATTTAAAACCGTATTTTTTTAGTATGTATAGATTTATTGAAATACTATTTTATTTTTCAAGTTTATAAATATTCTTTACCTCAACAGGAAAGTTTATATCATCGAATTTCAATTCATTCGCAAAGGGCATATAATTTTGAACTCTTTCGCTAGGAAATCTAGCTGGATGAAGACAGGCAAGCACAGCCCATTTAAAACATTCATTATCTGTATTTTGAACGTTGATAATTGCTTTTTTATCTGCTATTTGTTTTGGTAGTTGAATATATGAGCCAGGTTTGGAAGGATTAAATTTATTTATATTAACAGTAATACCGATGATAGTTTTTAATGTCCAACCGGAATCTTTTTCTTGAAATTCTTCTAAATTTTTAAGTATAACATCTTCAATATTTTCTGTAAACCATAATTTAAGATCTGTCGTTCTAAAAATAGAAATATTTTCGGTGTTGAAATACTTTACTTGAATGTCCTCTATATTATTTTTTCTTACGGGAAATTGAGCTGACATTTCTTTTTTCTAATGCTGAATTTATTTCACGCCAAATAACTCCATCCCCTTCAATTTGGTTTGGAATGACTCGTAATGATTTCCTCCGACTTTTATGGAATTATTTAAATTAATTTCGATTGAATTCAAATGAGTAGCGCATGTTTGACATCTCTGTCATATTGCTCTACTTAAGTTAGGCCGTAACATATATTCTTCAAGAGAATTCAAAGCGGTAATTATTATATTGTTCCATCTAATAAAATCATCCTTATTAGCGTCTGAGTTGTAATAGACTTTCCATAAATCGCGTACTGTATTTTCAAAATAAGAAATAGAAGCCATTGTAATGAAAATGCGCGTAGGATAACTACTACTACTACTACTACTACTACTACTACTACTGCTACTGCTACTGCTACTGCTACTGCTACTGCTACTGCTACTGCTACTGCTACTGCTACTGCTACTGCTACTGCTACTGCTACTGCTTGTCACTGCTAAGAAAGCTAGGGAAGCGGGCTGTCTCGAAAGACTGCGCTCTTAAGCACTATGGTGGCGCTGAAAGCAGCGGTTTCGGCGCTGTAGGTTGAAGAGGGGGTAGTCAGACGAAAGGTAGGAGGTGGGTAGGTGGGTGGTGGCTACGCCTAGCAAGCTAGAGACGCTACGCCCTCTCCGAGGGCTCACACTCAGCTAGCATAAGCTTACTAAGCGCCCTACTATTAAAGGAGAGCGAGAGAAAGGGATAGAGAGAGAGAGAGAGAGAGGGATAGAGAGAGAGAGATAGAGAGAGAGAGAGAGAGGGATAGAGAGAGAGAGAGAGAGAGGGATAGAGAGAGAGAGATAGAGAGAGAGAGAGAAAACAGCATCCGCACTATACGGTGTACGCGCCTAGCAAACTAGAGACGCTACCCCCTCTCCAGGGATCCACACTCAGCCAGCATAAGCGCCCTACTATCGAAGGAGAGCGAGAGAGAGAAATAGAGAGAGAGAGAGAGAGAGAGTGAGACCATCATATAGTTTACCAAACACCCTACCGACTTCTACAGCATCCTACCTTAACAACCTCTTAGGTTGTGACAAACATCACCCTATTGCAAAAAATGACGTCATTAATGACGTTATTTAATTACGTCATTAATGACGTTATTTATAACGTTATTGGACGTGTTAGGTTTTGGAACGTAAAATAACGTTATTTTTCAAAAATTTGGAGTGCTGTTGAAACCAAATAACGTTATTTCTCGTCGGAAATAACGTCATTTACAGAAAATAACGTTATTTCTCAAAGAAGTGATTTAGGTCTGGAAATGGAATAACGTTATTTCTCACAGATGATAACGTCATTTGCAGAAAATAACGTTATTTTTTCAAAAATTTGGAGTGCTGTCGAAACCAAATAACGTTATTTCCCGTTAACAATAACGTCATTTACCGAAAATCACGTTAGTTCCATGGAAATTTAGTAAAATGAAATGATGTAATTTTGTTGTTATTGTATTGTAATCTTATTCAAATATATTATCATAGACGTACATATTTGTTTTACATATAATATCACGTAGCCCTTAAACTTATAGAAAAAAGTTAAATAGCATTATATATATGTGTGAAAAATATGTAATATTTGCATTATACGTACATAATACAAGATTTTTTTATATTCTAAAATAAATAAGACGTTATGGAACTTTTTGAACATTAAGAAAAAAAGCTAATTAAAGATGACAAGTTGATTGTACTTCGGATCAATCATATTCCAGATCATCTTCATTAATCTCAGAATCATCATTATCGTTATTCTCTTCGTCGTCCTCATTCTGATCTTCATCATGATTCTCATCCTCATCCTCATCCTCATTATCATCAGATTCATTTACATTTTTATTATATTTTTCTTCGCGAAGCTCGTCAGAGCAAGTAGAATAAGTTTGCCTTTCTTGAGCAATTATAGTACCAAGTTTTCTTCCAAATTGCTGTATAATAGCGCGTTTTTTCTGAGAAGACATCTCATTATGAATTATTTTGTTTTCTATTAAGTATTGGACATATCCACCTACAAATGAAATAAAAATTCAGTATAAGGTATTTTTTAAAGAGATCATTTAGATAATATACAGTACGTTTTAATGCCTCAAATTTTTTGGGATCAACAGGAGACCTGTTTGAAGCATCCTTTGTTCGGTTAATTTGTATAGCCAAGCATAGAAATTCATCAGTTTCCCATATGTAGGGAATTAGTTCCCTCAAGAATTTATAAGCTGACTTTACCCGCTTGGCTTTTTTCCAAGCTTTATAGGGCACCGAAACTCCAAAATGTAGATGGAACATAGTTCTCTGGAAATTATTATACATATAAGGTCGTTTACATAAAATAACGTTATTTCTTAAAGAATTGGTTTAGCTCTGAAAATGAAATAACGTTATTTCTTATAGGAAATAACGTCATGTACAGAAAATAACGTTATTTTCCTGGAAATTTATGACTGAAAAGTCAATATTTTATTTATTTATAATTTATCGGATAAATACTTACCGCTGGTTTGTCTTCCGTCGCTTCCTCTTCCCAGGTGGTGAGTCTCCGCCTCTTTATTTCGCAATCTGACTGAATATAGTCGTCTGAATCGTATAGGACACTTTTTAGTTTTTTTTTGTACTTTTTATTCTTTGGTTTCTTATCTGGCTCCTTCCTGATATTTCTTCTTTTCTCGGCAACTGCTCTCTTTTGTGAACTAATTTTTAATTTATTTTTAGGTACTGCATCTTTTCCAATATCTTTTTCCTTCAATGACTGTTTTTGTATTCCACTTGTGGATGGTCTGCTTTCCAATGCTTTGCTGGTTGATACTTTATTTGCTGGAGATAAACGAAAATTCACGTTTGAGCTATAGGAAGTATCCAGTACATCTGAAAAACGAATATTCCAGTATACTTAAAGCTGCTTCAACGATATAAACACTATTATATATTTTTGAATTACTTACCTTTAAGGATAATATTGCATGGTAATAGAGGATTTGTCCTTGAGTAACGTGCAGATTGTGGGGTATAAATATCATTCATGCTAGGGGAAGCTGAAATACTAGGGCTATAATTCGAAGAATTATTTGACTGTCCTTGCATTTTTTTTTGAAGTGCTTTTAATTGCTCTTCTAATTCCATTATACGTTTGTCTTTCTCAAATTCTTTAGTTGTGGTAGCTTCATTAAATTCTAAATTACTTTGCAGCATTTTTAATTTGCTGCCCATAGCTGTTTCTGCATCTGCTACTGAGAGTGGAGAGGGCAGCTTTTGGTCCTGAATAAGGAAACGAAGTGTGTGATCTTAGAGTTAAATAGTTATTTAAAATTTATACACTAAAAAATATAATATTCAAAGTATAGATTTCTTGTAAAATTTATAATGAAAGTTGAACAATAAATAGCAACAAAAAATAGAAACATCCAAAATTGTTAATATGTAGTATATACCACAGTAAAATCAACAAATCTGAAATATTTATACTCCACATATAGCTAGCAATATTTATTTTTTTAATCATAAAAATGTTCCACCGAGTGTACATATTGACTACTATGAAAGTATGTTGTATACATAGCATAAAAACCTTATTTGATGACGTCGTTGAGAATATCCCTTTTTTAGCTTTTCCTTTCCCTTTTGCCTTTTCCTTTCCATTAACTTCTTGATCCTGGTGCTTCTGAGCTAACTCGTGGAGAACAGTGCTGAGTCTCTTATTTGGCTTAGGCCATCTTCTTTTTTTAGCTTGTAACGTTTCCTTATCTGCAGCGATTTCCAGAATTACTGCTGGTTCAAACATATCTTGGCCTTCAGCACCCTTTCCACTTTTCACCTTAGCATCATAGGGAAACTTTTTTTCTTTTGGATCATAGTGTTGGATATGAGTCACCGGGAGAAAATTTACTTCTGCATTATCAGCATAAAACCTAACAGCAGCATGAGCTGTTGTCTCGCCAACATCTGACATGCCACTATCACCTTCCATTGTGTCTTAAAAAACAAATTTAAAAAATATATATAATATAATATTTGATACATTAACATGTTATATTAGATACATAAACATGAATTTTAACAGTTAACAACAGAGATTTGGCATCATATGTCCAATTATCAATGCTGACAGTGCACGATAAAACTTTTACTGGCAAAAAGAAATTAAATTATTTAATTTACAAGTACATTGTGTAATTTAATTTCTTTTTGCCAGTAAAAGTCTTATCGTGCACTATCATAGCTTTGATAATTGGACATATGATGCCAAATCTCTGTTGTTAACTGTAATTCATGATTGAAATATTTTAAGCAAATAATATGCTAGCATCAATTATATCTATACTGTGTGCACAATTTTAATTAACTTGCATATCAAGTGTCGCGGTAGCGACACGCAGGCGAGTAGGTTATGAAATAACTGCGAACTGCGGGCGCACCGTACACTATATACAATACATTGGCTAAAAGGGGCGTGGCCAAAAGCATTTTTCATCGTTTCATTATTTTCACGAGCGATATGGGCATGTATTATATGGTAGAATCGATCATTGAGATTACCATCTTTCATTTAAAAAATGTTTTAGTTCGATTGATACAATTTTCACAAAGTTATTCGTAAAACAAGATTTTTTGATAGTTCACTGTCTGAGCAGCTTTTTGTCCTACCAATTTTTTTGTCTCACGCGTATTATACGCATATCCCATGAGTATTATACGTACGCGTAATACTATGTTATACGCATATTCAGTGTCCCATCTATCTCATGTCTCATGTACATACGTTTATGTATGTATATGTATATGTGTTTGTATTTTTTTGTTTGATTTGTTTGTGTGATTTTATTTTATAATAAATACTTCAAAACAATACTACTCGAATGCAAAACTTTCCAGTACCAGTAAACAAATGTATACCTCCCTTCGGATTGACCTTTGACTAATGTATCATAAAGTGAATTTCAAAAAATGATTGAAAAAAATGGAATTGTTAGTATTTTGAACGGAGCATCATGAAAAATATTGTCAGCATAATCAAAGATCATAATAAAAGAGAGCATAATGAAAGATATCGTAGTTATTCATTTTTGTGTTGATTTTTTTATTATTATATTATATTATATTTATATTTATATATATTTATGAATTCCTTTATTTACAGATTAATACGAATCAATTATTATTATTATTATTATTATTCTCTTGATTGTCTGGGTCATCGTCATTTCTGTTAGGCACGTAAGTGCACTCCTTTGCCATATTCCATAGAAATGTAGCCATGCGACTGGCATTACGCCTCATCTGAGAGTTCACAGCTGCATAGGGAGTAGTACCTATAACGATGAACAATTTGTTATAGGTCAAATTTTATTGTATAAAATATAATATATATATTACAATTAAATTATATAGGAGGATGTCATATAAAATTGTGACGGGCGAATCGATCATTAGATTCGATCGCCCTGTTCGCCTCTCTCTCTCTTCCGCGTGCCTTCCCCTGAGCCGCTACCACATCGGTCTTGGTTGAGTAAAACCGAGTATCGACGCACGATGTGGCTTTGTTTCAGGTCTGATTCCTGATCGGCGGAGATGCCTGGCGCTGGAGGGATAGGCATAGGCATAGGCGGAGAGCAGAGGAGGAGAGAGAGGGATAGTGTCGCCGGCATGAGCCGCACATGTGTGCGTAGCCGGCGGCGCTCGGCCGTTTTGAGTACCTATAGGGAGGGGCGCGTAAGAAAGCGCGGAAGGCGCGAGATCGCGGGCAGTAGGGTTTCGACCAGTGACTAATTGCTAGCTATTCGAGCCTTGTGACTAGCCTCAGTGAGTGTTCGAAGAGTCGATTGCCATTGAATGACCATCAGTGAGTGTTCGAGTGGTTGATTGCCATTGAACGACCATCAATAAGAAGGAAGACCGGCTGCATCCAGAATCCCGCCTTTCGAAGATAACATCGTTTGCTCGGAGGACGCGGACTTCCGCAGCAGCGCTCCCTCTCAAGGTCAGGTACCCTTTTTAGTTTATCGGTGCGCGCCTCGATTTCTCTCTCTCCTGGCATCGTATAGGCCGGACGCGGACGAGCGGTTGTATGCGTGAACTCGCATCGCCCTCGCGGAATTCGTGAGATACGTTGTAAGGTGACGTTCTGTTTCCTGTGCGTTAATTCGCACGGAACGAACTTAACCCGGACTCGGCCGACGCACACGTCAACGCCAAATGTATATTATTGTAGCAATAAAGAGTAAAGTAGTTGAATTGATGAGTTTATTTTGTTAAAACCTGTCTCTCTGTAATTGATTAAATTGCGTTTATCGATATTACCGGACGACATAGCCCTCGTTCAATTTTCGCGACGAAGCGAATGCGCCTTCCGAGCCTTTCCCCTTAAATAATTTGTGACGCAACGTTGTTCGGGCTTAAATTATTAACGTACGTGTTACATGGCATCCCTTGTGGGGAAATCGCGGGAATCGGGTTTGAGATGATCGCGAGAAAGAGAGACAGGACGCGAAATTCTAAAACAGAAAAGTAATTCGCGTAGACAAAAGAATTTGAAAAGGTCGGTTGACGCCGAGAGGGGAGGTGATCGAACGATCGGCCGAGCTGCGTTGAGCCGCGGCTCGAGCGGTGTTTGTTTACATTCCTCATCTCGGGTTCACAGAGAGCGCCGATCGAGAGAGAGATACGAGGCCGAAAATTGTAGCATAGTTGTGTTGCCGTTGCTATACTCAGGCACGGGCGAGTGAGTCATCGACCTAACGTGTCGAAGGCCACTACTCATCATACCCACGGTATACGGCCAGTAAAAGGACGGATAGACAAGTCCATTTAAGAAGCGGGTGTTGTTAGCGTAGTTAGATACGTATGCGAGATGGCCATTGGGTACTAATCTGTTTAGATCAGCGGATTAGAAAGGTGCGCCCTTGCCTGGGAGCCGCGACGAGAGTGAGAGTAGTTAGTATTTGTGTTTTGATTTTGAGTTTTATTTTGAAATTAAGGACGCAGAGCAGTGCGTATAATTCGCACTGCCTGAAAGTTGATTTTATATTGTTGATTGAATAACGGCCGAACGAAAGAAAGCGAATGCGTAGAAGTCGCATCCGCCGTTGATGAAATTGGCCGGACGATAATTAAGGGCAAGTTAGTGTTGGTCGCTGGTGTTTTTTTTTAATTTCATTTTATTTGGACAGTTGCGCGACGCGGTCGTCGGTTGTGCCCACATCGCGAGCGTGATATTGGATCGAGCGTTCGGGCGGTGTGAGAAGCAGAGGGGCTTGTAAGGATGCCGCCAAGCGGGACGGCAGGCACGATTATGCGCGAAATATTAAAAGATAGGTCGGTACGGGCTCTTAAGCGGCGAATCAACGAAACGCCGCCCGCGGAGTTGCTGAGTCTTCTTAAGAGCTATGGCCTTAGCGTGACGGGTAGCTTTGGGGTACTTCAGGAGCGCATGCTGCGCTACATGATTTCGCGTGAAAGGCCGGAGCTTAATCCGCCCCTGAGTCCGGGTGACTTTGAGTCGGGCGTTGTGCCGGGCCCGCCGGAGGCTATTCTGCGGGAGGAGTCGCGCGAGGTCAACATGGACCTGCAGCCTGATAGAGGCGAGGTGAGCCGCGGACGTCTGGAGGGCCAGATCGAGCCTGCGTTAATTCGCAGGCGAGAAAGCTTGGCATCCTCCGACGAGCGGCCGCCGCCGGTAGCAGCGCAGAGAAGCGGGCCAGAGCATAGGAGCGAGGACGGGCAGGATAGCGCCCGGGTTGCATCACATGAGGGGGCGACGGCGCTCGCCGATGCCAGGAGAGAGTTGGCGTCTCGCGGAGAAGTGGCGTTCCAGGATGCCGCGGGAGGGCCGAACGTTTTTGGACAGGCGTGGAACATCGTCGCAAGCCTGCCTGGCTTGGTTATGCGGAGGGAAGTACGTGCAGCATTATCGGAAAGCGCGAATAACTTATATCGCGTAGAAGAGGCCGCGTTGGAGATGCAGGCGGGTAGGCGGGATGCGCCGCGCGCCGAGGACGTAACGACGACTCGGACACCACATAGACGGGCGCGAGAGGAGCGACGATCTCGCTCGGCGTCGCGCCGGCGGAGGGAAAGTAGCTCGCGGGAGCCGGTTTCGGAAGACGAATTTTTCTCCGAAGTGGAAAGCGACGCCACCGAGGAGAGAGTATTGGGGTCGTTCGACCGGAGAACGAGTACCCCGGCACTGCCACGCGAGGTTGGAGAGGCCATGAAGAATTGGGAGGATTTAGTTAGGAAACTGTTGAAGGACGGCGCGCGAGAAAATTACGCTGTGAAAACCGAGGGAACGTCGCCGCGGGCCAGGCCACGGTTTGCCAACCCAGGGGAATTTAGGGAGAGGTATAGGCCGAGGTGCCCATCGGCAAGCGAATGGGAAGATAGTTGGAGCGAGTCCCCGAGTTCGGATGAGGACGGGCCGGATGGGGCGGGGTTGGTCAGTCGCAGACCGAAGCGCCGGAGTACTTGCAGGCGCTCAGGTCTGCGTCAGCCCCGACGTTATAAACCGGTGGACGCGGTGAAGGCCTTTCGTTCTTGGTCGCTGAAGTTTTCGGGTGACGGGGGAGCGGATGTGGACGGTTTCGTAAGTGATATTGGGAAATGCCAGGATTTTTACAGGTTAAGAAATGAGGAAGTACTCCGGGCGGTAGGCATAATATTGACAGGGAAGGCGGCGCTCTGGTACCGTAACAATGAAAATACTTGGCGAACCCTCGGGGAGTTTCTTACCGATTTAAAGGAGGAATTCGGAAGGCATTATAAGCGGGAGGATTTATATCAGGAGTTACGATTAAGGACGCAGGCGGAGGGAGAGACGCTGGGTGACTACCTAACCGCCTTCCAATGTATCGTTCGCCGTTTTGATAGGCCTCCTTCGGAGAGAAGGCAGGTGGCGATTTGCAAAGAAGGTTTGCATCCCACCTTCGCGAGGTACTTGTACGGGAAGTCGTTTGCTACGCTCAAGGAACTGAA